ACGAAGGTATACAAGGATAGTGGTTTTATCTTTTCAGGAGCATTAATATTTAAATGACAAGATCTAGAGATTTGACATAGAGATGTCATATTCTTGAGCCTATACCTAATTGCCAGGCACTACACTAGGCCGTCCACTTTCTCCTGTGGGCTTCCACAGATGCTTCCAGTAGAAAATCTTATATGATCACAGTGCCTGACTCTGCACACCCTCTTGCCCTTCAAATCCAGGCAACACCAAGAGTTGCGAGATTTTTCTTCTGTCTCCCATACAAGCTTCTTTATTCCTGTTTCCACTGGCATCTCATCTCTGCCCTTCCTTGTCTGTACCTTATTCACAAAGCCTTACCTTCCTCTAACCTATCCTGCACAACCGTCTCATCTTAAAAGCCCCCTTCAGTTTACAGCCATACCACTCTGAGCGTGCTCGATCCCGTCTGATCTCGGAAGCTAAGCAAGGTCGGGCCTGGTTAGTACTTGGATGGGAGACCATCTAGGAATACCAGGTGCTGTAGGCGTTAAAAAAAAAAAAAAAATTAAAAGCCCCCTTCATCACATTATTCCTCCCACTCAGCTCCAAAACCTTCAATGGTTCCCCTCTCATATTTCATTCAAGGTCTGCCATAGCTCTGCCCTAACTCTCCAGAGTAGATTATATTCATAGAGCCTGCTTTACCCATGAAAGGGATTTCAAGGAGGGAAGGAGGAGGGGGGGTCCCAGGGTACCAATCTGACCAGAGGGCTGTGTACACAGAAGGCCCTGGTGCGATGTGTCTGGGGCGAAAATCTGAATCATAGTCAATGAGGGCAGCCAAATTCCTATCTGGGAAATCAGGGCAGTCTGAAGGGTGAGGCCAAGCTGTAAACAGAATGAGTAATGAGGTCAGAAGCTGGTGGGGACCAGAATCATGTCTAGATACAGTTCAAGGAAACGGAAATGGTACAGGACTGAGGTTGTGAATCGAATTATAAGAAGATATTGGAGACCTGCTATGCTGCTCTACATGGGGATTGGAACGGAAGGAGCAGCCTGGGAAACTTCCCTCTCCTCTGGCTTTGCTCTTTGGTGTGTCGTATCAGTGTAATGCTCTGTCTTCCTTGCTGCCCACGGTTTCACACCTTTCACATGGCCCCAGCACTGCTGAGTGACTGGTCCATGTTTACAAGGTGGTAGATGTAAAAACATCTCTCACCTAATAGAGGACACACTAGGGAGGCAAGCTAAAATCCTGTTCGTAGGTTGGCAAATTACTTCACAGCTCCATGTCTCGGATTCCTCATCTGTAAGGTGAGGATAATAATTACATTATTTCATAATAGTGTTATGTAATAATAACACTACTCTGAGGGTTAGCCAAGCAAATATTTGTAAAATGCTTAGAACAGTGCTTGGCACATAGTAAATGCTATATAAATGTTAGTTAAATAAAAATAAGGAGCCCAGCTGGTGTATAGGGCCAGCACTCAAAGTCAGTTCTAATTTTAACATTTGAATCCTTAGATCCTCCACCACTAAGGTCAACAGCAGGTTATGACGAACTAAGCTGACTATAGGACTTTCAAAAATTAATTTTTATTTCAACTAAGAATAGAAAAACATGCTGTTGGCTTATTTTACTTGGGCACACAGGAAATATCACTTGAGTTGTTATCCTTACCTACTCTTAGGAAACCAGTAAGAAATCCAGAAGGATCAGTTCAAATATTAGTACCTCTCCCAAATTTATTAGACCTTGCAAAAAAAAAAAAAAAATCACACTTAGAAAATGACTGTGGGTGTCAAGGACAAACAGCATGGTTTAGGGAAGCTCAGTTGTGTCTGGCAAGGTTCAAGGCTACATGCAGCTTTCATTGGAAAGGTAGCCCAGAGCAGGTAATACAAAGAAGAGGAAATATTATAGTATTTCTTTTTTGCAAACTGTTGGGGGTAAGGTATTTGTAAAGGAGAGAAAGGAGAGGGAGAATGTGAGTGTATGGTTTGTAAAATGATAAAAAAGAGACACGGCATATGATAGCTCAGTAGTAATTCAAAGAAGATAGTGCAGAAGTCTGTGTGCTCTGGCAATCTATCAACCAGAAACCTTTATTAACTGAACCTCTCACGCAACTACAGTGTGGCACTAATAGATGTTTGAAAATGATGACCCTCATAGACTACGAAATCCTAAAGAGCTTTCTGAAACAGGAGAAAAAAGATTAAAGGAAGCTTGGTATGGTTTGTGACAAGTGTATTTTATTGTATTCTAATTTTTCAAAAACAAGCAATATTTTTGTCATCTGTAGTATGCGGTGATTTATATGCCATCTAATAACTTTCTACTTGTCATAACATTAGAACAATACATTGCCTGATTATGGTTGGTATCAGAGTTTAATAAATACCACTGTTCTAAATATGCTTTTCTATCCCTTATCTTTTAAGCTTGGCTCTGAGAGAACAAGATTTTTTTTCCTGTCCAGATTTGACCTGTTGGTCTTCCACTATTTTTATTCTTCCCTTAAAAAAAGAGGTGTCCCCTGGCCTTAGAAATCACTTAACCCTGCCTCACACAAGTTTCACACTTCTGTTTCACACTCAGGGTGGAGGTTCTGAGGGGGGTGTTCTCTTTCTCATAACAGACAACAAGGAAAGACACTTGCCTAAGTAGACTTAGAAATAAACGCATCTCTTGGGGGAAAGGTCCTTAGAGAATAGGGACAGCAGCAATTGTGCCCTGTTGAACACGTGGCTTAACCAGAACATAAACAGAGCCTGCCAGGACCGCCCAGGGGACACCCGAGACACAAAGCAGAATTCGGATAGTGTCTGCAAGGTCTCCAATCCCTCATCCACACAAGAGGGTCTCCCGCCTTTTCTAATTACCTTCCCGGATTCCTTTCCCTTTCTTCTCAGCCCGCAATTCAGGGCTCTGCATACCACAGGGGTCAGACACAAATAAAATCCATACACGGACTCCATTCTCGGGTCACAGAATTTGGTTAACAACTCAGACTGAAGATGGCCCCACTCCCATCTCCCTTCCCCACCATGAAATCTCTGCTTGTAAACACCAGTCACTTAGTAACACCCTCCAACAGTCGCCTTTGGGCTATTATTCATCTCCCACTAACCTTAAACCAACTTTATCTTCACAGGCTTCCCCCCCAGAAGAGAGAGGAAATTCCACAGCTCTGACGTGATGTGAAACGTGATCAGCCTGCCACAGCACTCTTTCTTTCTCATTCTCCTCAGCCAGTTCCCAAACTAGGTTTCCCTGGCCGCTCTCGGAGAGGCCTTCACCCGTCCCCCTCTCCATCCCTCCCCCTTCATTCCCTCTCCATTTTATACACTGTAACCCGATAGGCTGGAAATGCAGCTTCTTTCATCTTCCATTTCCCACATCCTGAAAAATCTGAAGAGAAGGAGCCCACCCAGATAAAGGAATTCCAAGTATGTGCATCCCCCTCCCCCTTTAACTCCATTCACAAAGCAGATTACTAATGGCCAGAGGCTCCAGGGCCCCCCTCTGCCAAAAGAGTTTACTCATTCCGAGTCCTTGCTCCTCATCGGCACAAAAGCCTAAGTCCACATGCCTAGAACCAAAAATTAACTTTTCCCTGGACTCTGATCCTGAGCCATGCTTTCAAACTTCACCATGATTGGGACTAGAACATCTAGGAGATTCTGTCTACCATTCGTCTGTGCCCTCTTTAGCATTTCTAGGTAAGAGGGCTCAGGGAAAATGTGTTGTTGGATCAGAGAGAAAAGATATAAATGTAACGTGTGATGTTTCAAAGAGACTCGCTCATGTCTTTGGGAAAGATCATAGGCCATTCTAATCCAGAGACATTTCTCTCCATCAGAAATTGTTTCGAGGCCAGAGAAAAAGATGCTTATTTGAGGGTACAGGCAGAGAATGGGGGTATATTTGTGTGTCTGTGTGTCTATGAAGGGAGTGTTTTGGTACATTCTTAAAATAAATTTCTTGAGTCGAAATATCCTATTATAATTCTTTACTACCTGGAAATTAATGATTACAAAACATGCCTCGGTCAGTTCTTTAATCACCCTGTTCTGAGTTCTGTCACTGACAGGGAAACCAGGGACAAGGACAGTTTCTCTGACCCCAACCTCAAAGGTTAGGGTACCCCTAAGCATTCTCTTTCATTAAGGATGGTAAACTATCTTATCTGTCCTTCAGGGAGGGTATGAGAGCTGTTTTGAATCTGTACCAGCTCTGGGATAACCAGTTCCCTGAGTTTACTAGTCACTGTGTGAAACAGGATTTCCTGTACAAAGGAGTACTCCTCAGTCCTGACATTAAGGAGTATATTTAGTAGATTATTAATCCATATTGTTTTTGCACCTCAGGACAGTTAGCTAACTTGCTTAATGCGCTAGTATTGGACCAAAAATCTACTAAAGTCTGGGCAGATGTTAGTGCACTGAGTCGTGCATTCAATAGGTCTAACTATTGCCCAAGAAGTCTTGTGGAATTCCAAGAAGAATTCAAGAAGCCTGACCTGAAAGATGCAGTAATGGTGATAAGAAATAACTGTGGCAAAACAGCCACATGGCAGCTCCTCAGAGCATCTGTATGGTGCTGAGGAGAAATCCGTACTGTAGCTCAGCTTCAAGACTGGCCCACGTTTGCAATCCTTCTGTAAGTGCAGCCTGCTCCCAGTACCCAACAGGTGACAGGCTCCTCCATGGGCTCAGCATCCTTAGACAACAGCCCCACAAAGTGTTGTGCTTAATGTCTGCATCTTGGAGCAAGTATTATTCTCTCTGAGCCTCAGTTTCCTTATCTGTAAAATATTAATCAAAGTGTGATCCCCAGACTGGCAGCAAGCCTTCACCGGGGAGCTAGCTAGAAATGCAAAATTTCAGGGCCCGTCCAACCTACTGTGTTAGAAGAGGATCCCCAGGTAATTCCTGTGCACATTCAAATTTGAGATGCTCTGGCCTGGACTCAGGATCTCTAGTCCTCTTTCCAGTTCTGAAATTGGCCAATCTCATTAAGTGGTTTCTAATGAAATTTTTCTTCTCTGATAAATGGTTTTCTTTCTCTCTTCCGCCTCCAGTCTTGGCACATCCTGTCACCCCTGCCAAGGAACTCGAGTTTCAATAGGCATCAGATTTGCGTGAGGAACTTGTTTAAAATACTGAAACCAATCAAGAAACGCAGAGTGGAGTAGGGCCAGAGAATCTGCATTTCAGCCAGCTTCCTCCCATGGTTCCACAGATCATGGTTCCCAAATTACATTTTCTTTCCTTTAACTTTTTATTATGGAAAATTTCAAATGTATAAAAAATGAAATAGTAATAATGAGCAATTATGTTTCAATACTCAGCTTTAACAATTATCAGCTCAAGGCCAATTTTGTTCCACTCAGATTATATTTTTGAAAAACCTTCACATCTGGACCCTCTCAACCTTCTTGGTTCCCTTCATGTGTTTCTAGTCCATTAAGGCTCAGTTCATTCTCCTCGAGGGCAAGTTGCATTCTATGTCTTGGAATCTCGAGTACCAACACTGTGCCTGGCATGTACAGGCACTCAGTAAATGAATACAATAGTACATTTGAAAAGAACTTTAAAGGAAACCAAATTATCATTTACCTGGATGGTTTAGAATAGAGGTAAGCGGGATTATCTGATCACTTGTTTTTTCAGTTCTTTGCCTGTGATTGCTAATTCAGTTAAAGAAATTAAGGCATCAAAATGCATCTCGCCAAGTGAAAGGATTGGGAAAAAGTTTTCAAAAGTCTAATTTACATTCTTTTCCTTCTGGTCTCAACATTTTATAAAAGATTTTGTGTCGGTGGGTGTGTGGTAAGAGAGAAGGTAGGAAAACACCTCTGGGGAATGAGGATATTGTCTCATAGCCTTTGTTTTACTCTTTAACCTAGTAATAAATCTCTTAAAGCTCCTGTGGTATTCAGAATATCCTGTACGCGGCAAAGTCTTCCCACAGTTGTGAAAGGAATTCAAGTTTACTAAGTGGGCAGAGAGCACTGATATCTTAAAGGCGCAGTCCTGCCCTTTTCACCTATTTGCTAATTATAAAAGCGAAATCTGAGAATTTGGATGAGTATGCTAAATAATAGAAGGGAGAATGAGGGAAGGCAGGACCAAACTGAGAAAAGAACTCTGCAGTTCCAAAACTCAGCACAACAATCAAGAGAGAAAGTGGTAATTAGGCCTGATTATCATGCAAGGCAGCCTGGGTGAAATTGGAATGTAGCCGGAGAGACGAAAGGCTAGATGGAGAGTTTGCTGTGCTGGAGACAGGCTTTGATGTCTGCAGGGAAGGTTGTGTTTCATTCAGTCATCCAGCCAACCAAAAAATGTTGCAGGAGCAATATGAAACCTTCTAAAATGCAGCATACGGCAAGCTGAAATAAGAGCAAGTGGCTGGGTCCGAGGTCTCCTCGTGAGTGTGTGTTTGTGTAGTTATATGCTGCTTTTCAGATTTACTGCTCCAGTCTCTTGGATCTGTCAGAAGACAGGAAGAGAGAAAAGGAGCACAGGCTCGACTATTAACTCACCATTCTTGGCTTAGCAGATTCTTATGACAAAGGAGAAAGTACGTAAGCTCAGGGCGGCTTTTTTACCTGCTGTGGGGAGAAAGCAAAGGAAATAGAGGTAAATTACTGTGTGTTCCTGAGAGGCCTGGAACTACGATAACAGAGGCAGATGCAGTCATCTGAGGCTGCCAACCACCTCAGCGTTTATACCAACTGATGTCGGAAGAAGAAAATGAGCCAAGGAAGTAGGTTAATCTCTCAGAGAAACACAAAATAGGTAGCAAGGAGCATTTTTACACCTTTCACTCTTTAATTGCTTCAAACCCAGATCTGTGAAGCGCAAGGAATTCCTTTTGTGTCCTTACCTTACCTCTCTCAACGTCTTAGGGGTATTGCCTGTTCTAACATATTGGTTTTGTTTCCAAGCTAATTGCTCAGTGGGGTGCACTCCCCAAACCAATCAACGACTTTCATTTCCATGCAAGGACTTTCAGTACAACTTGGTATCGGGAGACGATCAATTTTTTACTAAATCACTGACAGGAAAGATGTCATCATGTTATTATTTTACTTATTCACCATAGAAAGCATGATGTGCAATCTCGATTTTATGTTAAGAAAGTTCACAAAAATACAAAAACGGGAGACTAAATGAAATTCTTATTTCTTAAGGATTACCAAAATAAAAAACCACTTACCACTTTGCTATACCATCCAGACACATAGTCCCACATTTCTTTTCAAAAGAGATGAAGTAAATTGTTGATCAAATTATGTTGAAGGAAATAAAGGAGCATTTGTTACATATCCAATGCATCACTTCTTGGGTTTATCTCAATCTTTTCCCCTGTATTTGCAATGGACTATCCATAGAATCTGCTATTTTTTTTGCGGTGATTTCTTCTGTACCGAAGTTCACCCTTAAGACCTGTATAAAATAATAATGACATGTATTTATCATAAAGTAAAGGGGCCATGGAATAACTACAGATACAAAGCTATTGTATCTATCACTACTGATATTGTTTCTACAGAAACTGTGAGTGAAGAATGATGCTTTGATGTAATAGACTGTTCCTTTTTTTCCCCTCAGTGTCACTTGATTTAGGAGAAACTCTACTTAATCCCTTCTATAAAATTCCCTGAAATTACCCTTGTAGTGTGCAGCATAAATTTAGGATAAATCAATTGTACAAGATTGAAAATACCCTTTCAACTATCTTATTTTGTATAATATTTGAAAATGAATTGCAGACTTTTTACTCAGCATAAAAAAGGGGAGGGAGGAAAAAGAGTCTTAACAGCTGTGTATTTTTTTAAAATAAGAAAATAGCATTCCCCAGAATTTCCAGTAAAACCCATAAGACTTAGGCAGTTCATCCCTAAAGTATGTGTGGGATGCTGGGAGCTCCCTGGCTTTTCCAGGCAATCCTACTGCACTGCCCGCCCCCCCAAAAAAAACTCCCCACAAAAAACAAAAGCAGATGGGCTGCATCTGAACGAATCAAACTCCCCAGGGGCCAGAACTCTCTGCTCTAAATGCTAATAGAGTGAGTAATCAGAAACCTACATTTGGTAAATTATTTATCTTATCTCTGGAACTCAGCAAAGCATCGAAGACAGCAACTTCTGTAGAAAGATGTTGTTGGTCAAGAACCCCAGCTGGAATTTGTACTTTTACTAGAAAAGGGAAAAGTTCACAGACCAATGCGGCTCATGAAGCAATAATTTTTTAAAAATGACTACAGGCAAAGCCAAGGATAACTGACTTCACAGTTCTGTGGAACAGGTCTGGTTCATGTTGTGTCTAATGGGTCTTACGTTCCATCCGTATTAGGATAATGGCAAAGCAAACCAATAGATAATAAGGGTCCCTAAAGAGCTGAGAATAGGTTTCTGCACTCCCCATCTCCACCGTTCCCTTGTAAAGGGCAGGAAGCAGTGGTTCCGAGACTTGAGCTTCCTGCATCAGAATCACCTGGAGGGCTTGTAAAACTCGGATTACTGGGCCTCACCCCCAGAATTTCTGATCGTATAGGCATGCAGGGGTGAGGCCTGATAATTTGCATCTCTGCATTTCAAACAAGTTCTCAGGTGCTGCTGTTGCTGGTTCAGGGGCCACATTTTGACAACCAATGGCCTGGAGAGTGGGGTCTTTCTACAATTTGGTTTGGTTTCTGTACAATCTGAGCACCCTCCCTCAGGATGAGGTATGGAGATTTGGAGGTTTAAGGGCTATGCCTGGGATTTTGACAGTGGAATTAGCCCTAGAAATGAATCTTATCATTTTTGCCAATTTTTACAAAAAAAAAAAATATTAACTTGATAAATCAGTCCTATCCATGTTCAACAGTATTCTTATAACACATACACATGCTTTGTATCCTCATAGTCTTGCTTTTTGAGTTCAATAGAATTAAGCAAATAAAAAAGTAAAGGTTTCATTTCAATAAATATGTTTGTAAGTCACATTCACATTTATGAATACATGGGTTTTTTTTTTTGCCTCTACAATTTCATTAGTTCATCCACACTGTGAACTCAATTGATGAACTGAGTTGTGAAATAAGAGGAATCCAAGTGATTCCTTTCCCTTTGCTTCTGTGGAGGCTAAAAAAAAAAAAAACTTCTCTCACCTATTAAGTTCTAGCTGAGCTAATAATCAAATTAACAGGAATGGATTAACAGGAGAAAATCAAATTTTAATATGTGCATACAGGGAATTCACATAAGCATGAAAATCCCAAAGACAGTGAGGCAAAATTGGGTATACATGTCATTTTGGACAAAGAACAGATGTGGAACAGGGTCTTAGATTTTAAATGTGAAAATGGGCTATTTGCAGGTAATCGAGGAAGAATAGAAAACACATAGCAGGTAAATTTTGCTAGGTAACCCTGAAAACCAGGGGTGGGAGGGTGATGTAGTCAACAGGCTCCTGCTTAGAGACTTTCTGAAGCAGGTTTTTCCACCTAAATCTTTTAGGTAGGAAAGAGGAAAGGGTCAAAGGTTCTTTCTGAGTCTTTTGTTTCTTAACCAGTTCAAAATCAATATCCCAAAGACAGCTTTAGGGTGTAAAAACTTTGGTCCCCTTCACTTCTTTCCTTCAAATAACAAATATATTTAGAACACATAGTGTATGTATGGATAACATACAAAAAGTATATAAAGCAGATTATTGAATCTAAGGGGAGATGAGACCAAATAATATAAACCACACGAGTCAGAGAAATTCCTCAGCAAGTGTAGTGGCCAGGGAATGCTTTTACAGAAGGTGGCACTTGAGTTGGGTGTGTTCAAAAATCCTTCCATGGCTTCCTGTCACCCTTCACATAAGAGTCTTACTCCTCAGAATGCACACACAGCTCTTTGTGATCACCTATGGTTTACCTGTTCAATTGGATTTCTCTCCACTCCTTTTTCACCCTGGGGCTGTACTCAGCAACAAGGTAAAAGTCTGAGATTGTGGGAATTTCAGATGGAATACAATTGACAATTAATCCTCTACCAAGCACTGGCGCCCTTTCTCAATCTTTTTGGAGGGGTTGTTGGGGGTGGGGAGTGGCAACTGGGAAATGACTACCTCATAATCATTTGAATTTCACTTCGGTGAGCAGTCAGTTGTGTACAAATGAGTTTCTCTGTTATTTGGGTGCTTTTTGTGACAGTACAGATCCAACTGAAAAATAACCGTTTTTCTTTAACGTCACAATAACGTGAGCTTTTTCTCTACTTTATGCTTACAAGATTTTTGGATCCTACTTGTTACCCTAGGATGGGTTTTTCTGTCCATGCAAATTCTTACCTCTGAGTGTTTACACATGTTGTTTCTTCTTGCTTAAATTTGAATTTCCCCATCCTGTCCTTTGGTTGATTCTTCTCTTCCTATTTATGTTTTAAGACCCACATCAGGTGCTACCTCCTCTCCTAGGCCTTCCTTGACCCTGGAAATCAGATTCAGAGGGTGTCATAGCTTCCTTTGCATACTTTGTCCCAACTTTAATCACTGTAGAGTAAGTGTTTAACTATGTGAGAGGTGCTCATTAAATGTTTGTGAAGAAAGGAGCCAAAGTGGAGAGAAAACATATAAGCAGAGAGAGGTGAGAAAATCAAGTTTCACACTGGGGATAGCAAGTTCTCTCCTGCCCTTCCCCTCTCCCCACACTCATAAGGAAAGAAAGACATGCAATTATGAGCAGAAGACCTCAGGATAGTTGGGTCTTAGTTTCCTCAACTGCAAATCTGGGATAATGACAGTGCCAGCCTCATAGAGTGGTTGTTGGTGGTGGTGGATTTAGCACTTTTTTTGCATCTAGAAAGGGTTCAATAAATGTTAGCCATTGTTTGCTATATTAAATTAATCCCATGTTTTTATGGGGTTATCATATAACTTACTAAAATG